TAGATAGGCATTTTTACCTGGGTCCTCCTGAGTATAGGGTCGAGTGTTCATCCCCCCAATAGGACTACCAGCCAGTGCAGGGTAGAGACGGCCTCCGGAGCGTCTGAGCACAGCCTCCTTCAGGATCCTACGTCGGGAAGCGGAGGTCTTTGCCCGGGATGAATATTGAAAACAATATAACAAAAAGGAAACGAGATTACTAATTAACAGCTAAAACAAAAGCATGAAACAAAAACCCTCTCTGGTTACTTCAAACAAAACACAAAGAGCGCACCACCCCTAAACCTAGTGAAACTAACAAAGAAAAACTACAGGTGTGCAACAGCGTCAGTGTTAAACTAACCCTGGCCTAGTTTCTGAGCTGAGAACACAGATCACAGTTTAAGCCCACTACTGATATTTCGAATAGGGGAAAACCAAACACACTAAGTTAATCTACTAATTAGCAGCAATGCTAAGACAAATAATTCCACTCAAACACAGTCAATGTAATTACATGAGTGAAAACGAGGTAAGATGATCACAAGAATGAGAGCTGCCTGGAGCAGCAGGATGGCACCCTATTTAAAGGGGAGCAGTCTTTCTGGCAGCTACGGGATTGGAGGAAGCGGTGGAGCACTGCTCCAGTCAGCATCATGCTACAGGCAGCTTCTGGATTGGAGGAAGTGAGTGCCGCTCCATTCGGCATCCTCGGACGACAAACAGGATATAGGTGGGGCTGACAGTGGCCAGACCAATCTTCAGCAAGGAGCCACACAGCCTGATCAGCATATCACTACAAAGACTGGCAGTTAAACACATAGAAATGGCGGCAACTGTCTGCTGTAACAATCATCATTGGATCAAGCCTAATCAGTGTCACAGAATGACAGCGTAACTGTGGCGCGGGGCCTGTGTGTGTGTAGTCAATATTGACTACCAGCTATGTACAGCGTGCTCGACAACCCAGCTGTATTCTAACGTTAACTTTAGGTATCCTTGTTAGCTAGGGTCCAGGAATTATGCCAGAACCCAGATGCAGACCAGGAGACAATGTAGCAGTTTTAACAGTTTAGTTAGTTCAGTTAATGGAGTGGGTAAACTAAGACAGGGTGAGGACGCAGGGAGTTTACTTCCAAGCAGGTAGAAATTTGTACAATAAAAGAGTTATTGATGGCTGTTGAGCCTATTGTAAGAAATTAGGGACAAGTGTACTTCTTTAAGTAGCCTAGTCGGGATGGGGTCTAAGAGGCAGGTTGATGGTTTAGATGAAGAAACTATTGAAGTTAGTTGGTAAAGATTGAGGGAAGCACAGCAGTCTAAACATACTGTATATCTGGTTTTACAGCTGTTTCTAGGGTTCCTGAGTTTAGAGATAAGTCGGTGCCAGTTGAGGGCAGGTCTTGGTGAATTTTGTTTCTAATAGTTAGAATTTTATCATTAAAGAAGCTCATGAAGTCGTAACTACTGAGGGCTATGGGAATACTTGGCTCAATAGAGCTGTGACTCTCTGTCAGTGGCGCGGGGCCTGTGTGTGTGTAGTCAATATTGACTACCAGCTATGTACAGCGTGCTCGACAACCCAGCTGTATTCTAACGTTAACTTTAGGTATCCTTGTTAGCTAGGGTCCAGGAATTATGCCAGAACCCAGATGCAGACCAGGAGACAATGTAGCAGTTTTAACAGTTTAGTTAGTTCAGTTAATGGAGTGGGTAAACTAAGACAGGGTGAGGACGCAGGGAGTTTACTTCCAAGCAGGTAGAAATTTGTACAATAAAAGAGTTATTGATGGCTGTTGAGCCTATTGTAAGAAATTAGGGACAAGTGTACTTCTTTAAGTAGCCTAGTCGGGATGGGGTCTAAGAGGCAGGTTGATGGTTTAGATGAAGAAACTATTGAAGTTAGTTGGTAAAGATTGAGGGAAGCACAGCAGTCTAAACATACTGTATATCTGGTTTTAGAGCTGTTTCTAGGGTTCCTGAGTTTAGGGTCCAATGTTTCCCTAAGTTCAGTTGAAGCTAATGTAAAGGTTTAAGTAGTCTAGTTTGAAAAGTGAAATGGATATTGGATATTAGTGAAGGTAATGTGGGCAAAGGTTTCTGTTGAGGTTTTATCCTGGCAACAAAACTATTTGTGACTACTGGGAAGTATCACAGCTCAGCAAAGAAACACACAAAGAGTAAGAAAGACTTTGGTATTTGTCTAAGCCAAACTGCTGAAACCTCATAACAGTTTCTTATGAACTTAATGCATTCATCATCCTCAATCTTTCACAGTTGAGCCAGATTAGGAAGAGATTCTAGAGCAAGTATAGACAGAAGGAATCATTACAGCCACCAGTGACTTAACAAATTGGCATGTGAGTGTTATATCAAGATAGATTTGGAAAAAATGTGAACCGATGCTTTCAGTTTGTGGGGGGCACCGATGAGCATACAGTGCATGATTTGTAACCTGTCTTTTAAAATGATCCTCATAATTGGATTGTTTATATTTTCCAGTGCAAAGATAAACCAGACATTGCTGACACGCCTGGCTCACCTCTCTGTTATCACTGACAACTCTCCTGGTGCGGGCCACTTCAACCCGAGAGCAGTTCTAGTGTAGTCGAAGATGAAATTGTGAGTGATCTCCCCAGGTTAAATGATGCACTTGTACTGTTGTTTGTCTTGATCTATCCTTTGCATTTAAACTATCCAAAGAAACTAATTTACACTTTCACCTTTGTTTAGAAAATAATGTCTTGATGATAGCAAACCACTAAAGCTGTGCCTAAAAATACTTGTTGAAAGAAGTTTGAATGCACACATGTACATAAACGGTTATGTGCTTCTGTCTGTAACACCGCTTTAACTGAAAGGTGGCAGATGATGATGTGTTCCATTATATCACCTGCTTATTTTAAACAATCGTAACAAGTGCAGTTATGGAGTAAAGTTATGCATGGTCACTTCAGTTTCTTTCCACAAAAATAAAGTGCAGGTAGTAAAAGGAAAACTTGTTTAGCTTCAATGACTTTGCTGTTAAGTTAGTTTATTATATAGAGTGTTCAGGAATCAGGGTTCTTAACTAATTGTTGCTTTTGAAATAATCAGGCTGTGACATTTCATTTCTCATTTTAATGGCGCTGCTTCTGAGATTAGTTCTGCAATTAAGTATTTTATTATTGATTTATTCATTCGGTCTGACAAATTTTGTTTCTGTAAAATATAGAAATGACAGGAGATGTTACAAGTTTTGATAATGATGGGTCAATAAAGAAAACTTGAATAGTAATAATGGAGTTGTACTTTACATTCTGCAAATACTTTTGTATTTTTGAGAATTACTGAGCATTCAAGTTTACATCAGAATAAAAGATGGCCCAAAGTGTGCCTTTGCAATTGCTAATTTCTTTTTAAATTCTTTAAAATTTTACGTTTCTCTTTCTTTTATATGTTGTTTGTGTTTCAAGAGCGTGGGAAATAGGAAAAAAAATTGACTTGTACTTTCAATTTTTTTATTTTTTTTAGTTAGTAGTACTCAATGTCATTAAGGTAATCAGTTGCCACAAATATTTTAAGTTTTTGGGTAAATAATTTGACTTTTAGTAAGTCAATGTTTTTGACTTAGTAGTAAATAAAAGTCAGTCATTTTATCTAACAGAAACTCAAAAAAATTGTGGCAACTGATTGCCTCAATTATTTGGCAAATAGGCTAATACTGAAAGAAATACATGCAGGTTGTCTTACCTTACACCCAGGATATGCATCGAAAATCAAGGCTTCCCCACAGAATATCATGGCCAATCCCAAATGAAAAAAAAAAGACCGCCTCCTGACACTACAGCCAGAAACACAGAACACAAAACTTTCATAGTCTTTTTCTATGCCGCTGGTTCTGGAAAGCTGGATCGCTGTGTGCCAGCACACATGGTTGCATTAGGAGGCAGTCTTGTTTTTCCATTTTATTGCCTGCAACAAAAGTGCGTCAATTACTCAACTTGGGGACAGCACCTCAGCGGCCTAAAGCTTGGGCTTAGCCTCTACAGCAGAGGACACTAATAGGCGGACCGCGGTCCGGATCCGGACCCAGCCGCCGTCCTCTCCGGACCGCCGACCTACAGCCCATTTATTATTGAGACTTACTACCTCGTGACGGAGAGTTTCTATTTTAACCCGCGCAGCTTTTCTAGCATTTACTGTACTGGTTTTACATGTACATTCCTCCCACGGGCAGTTCAAAACCAGAATATCTCATAGATCTCCAATATGCGAGCTGGAGCTCACGTTTCTCACTGAACAACAGAAAGTAGGAAAGTGGTAGCTCTGTAAGAGGAAATGAAAGAGAAGAGGAGGCATTACAGCTGTTCATTTGTGTGTTTATTATAAAATTGGTTAAGACTACACTTCATCACTTCAAGCTACACTTTTTATTACATTTTTTCTAAAAATTAGGCACTTTAGTTTACTTAAATTTAGAATTTATTATTTGAATAGTTATTATTTATTATCCCTCCAGTTTGATGTGAAAACTGACTGAAATATTATTTGATTTCACAGTCCGTTGTTGACTAAAAACATGTGTTGATACAACTATAGGTTATAGTACTGAATGATAACGCAAGTTCGTCGTTTTGATGTTCTGGACCTTTGCTTCAGGAAATTTTCTCTAACTAGAGCTCTTTGAAATCTAATTGAATACCCCTGCTCTACAGTATCTTCATACACTCGCCTGTTTCCCAATTCAAAAATGGAAAGAGACAGAGCATCGTTGGAGTTGAGGTATGCAAAATGAAGCCTGGTTGCTGTGGCTAGCCAGCTCTGACGGCCCACATCTGTCAATCAAATGGAGACTGACTCGTTTTTGAAATCACTTTGAAATCAATGTTCTTTCTTGTGTACAGACTATTTATAAGTATAACTGTATAAATCTACACAAACCTCAGTTTTAAAACTTTGAAAACATACTGTAGACTACATGCTCATAGCATTGATAAAGTAGAACTCACTGTAAACAAATCTTAAAAACAGACATGGAAGTTATTTTCTATATTTATTGTTTTTAGCAAGTGCATACAGACAGTGTCTCAATCATAAGCTAGTGATCAGTATTATGGTCAACAATGATGTCAAGCAACAATGGTCGATGATTGTGGTCTTCTGAATTAAATTTAGATCAACTTTAAAGCCACTTCAGGCATTACGCAACCATGTTATAGAGAAGAGATGCACGTTTTAGTCTCAAAACAAAATACATTTGGAAACCACAATAATTATAGATTCCAAAAAGCTGGAAACAAACATGTATCTTCACTACACACCAATCACAGAAACTTTATCGGTTATAAAAAAGAAATTTGATGATTATGGATATATCAACAAGCTCTGTCACTCTAGGATGTAGGGCTGCTGCAGACATGACAATGGGACAGGCAGGAGGTCAGTGGAGTCTTAAGTGGACTTTAGATGGATGAGAGCACAGAGAGAGATCCCTTTTTCAGTGTGCTTTGTGAACGAGAGAACAGTTGAGATGAAGAACACCATTTATTCAGATAGACAGATGGAACAGAGCAAGCCTTTATTATTACGCACCATTAACTGCCTACTTAAGAGATTTGTCCCCCCATTTTCTAACAATTTTAGTTGGTTAGTTAGTGGGAGAAACAGCTCAGCTGACCCCTGATCAATATACATGAGGCTGTATTCCATCTGTTTCTATCTGTATGGTTGTGATTAAGCGGCATTAATCATTGACGGACATGCTCTCCATGGTATTCGGCAGGTTCTGGTCTTCTTCCTGCTTCTTTTTCTTCCCTCCTTCATGCTGTTTCTTTGCCTTCTTGGACATCTCCTGATCAATGGGAGCAGGCTTGACAAACTTAATGACCTCTGTCATGCCTGGAGAAGAATAGACAATTGAGGTGAACAATTAAATTTAAGCCTTCAAACAAATAAATATAACACAAAAGGTCCTCCACAAGGCTCTACGCTAAGCTTTTTCGCCAAGGAGCACATGTGCTACTAACTGAAAAAGTTTAGGATCACACAAAGCACAGTGAAAAACATAACACAGAGTTTACCAACTTTTCATATACATTTTATACAGACAGATACGCGATACACCAGCACCACCCACATGTAAACAAGATTACTGAACAATATTTATTACAATAACTTTAGTAAAACAGATGTAATACCGATACTAGAAAGTTAAATCGAGCATACTGCCTTTTATTGGTACCAATACATTAAGAATGACAGTGTTTCAATAGAAGCCCATCTGGGCAGAGCAGTATGTGTCTCAGGGCTTGTGGCTCACACAGCAGCTCCGGGAGAGGCAGAGCCCAGAGAGACATGGCTACAATCACAAGCTTCTTAATGCCTGCGTTTTATTTTTCAGTGAAACTTTTTCCAGTGCAAATACAACTTTTTCCCCATACAAATGTTTTAATTAAGGGTGAAATGTTTACATGCACTCGCCTTCGACTAAAATTCCAACAGAGTTAAGTAGTTAGTAGTTATAAAACAACTCATTCCCAAGCATTCAATTGGTCTGAGTTTCTTCATTGACCAAAGGCTTTCTATGAGCTATTTGTTATCTTTTTAAATGAACACAGCACACACCAGATGTAAAACCATTCAACAAAACTTACCAGGAGGCATGAAATCCCTGAGCTTCTCCGGAATAACAATACCCTCTTCGGTTTGGTAATTCTCTAGGATGGCACATATCACACGTGTGGTGGCACACATGGTTGCGTTCAACATGTGCACAAACTCTGTCTAAATAACAAAGAGAAGAAGTGTGTTGAAAGTATGCAGCTACAGAAGGGATAAATCATCTAGCAAGGGTAATCTGAGTGACATTCGTAAATTAAATTAGCTGCCCAACAATAGCGTAGGTGCATTATCGAATAGATCTTTGTCGAGATGCCCAGCTGCGTTGGAACAGAGCACTCACCTTGTCCATCATCTTTTTGGTCTGTCCGTATCGGATGCGGAGGCGTCTGGCCTGGTAGTCAGTGCAGTTTGAGCAGGAGACCAGTTCCCTGAAGGCACCAGAGCCAGGGAACCAGGCCTCCAGATCCAGCTTCTTACTAGCTGCATAATTTAGAGCACCTATGATGACATAAAAGTGGGATGTTTAGCTGATATCATAGTCTGTTCTTCATGCAGGCACTCACTGCTCTAACAGCAGCTAGTAATATAAGACCAAAGTTTTCTGTAATGATCTTAGAGCAGCCAGCAGGTGGTGCTGCACATGAAATCAAGCAAACTGCCTAAAACCCTCACAGCTGGTCATTGCCTTAAAATGCTGTGAAAGAGTATAGGGCTGCATTTAATTACTTTCTTTACGATTAATCTGCACATTGTTTTCTCCATTAACTGACTAATCGCTGGGTCTCTAAAATGTCAGAAAACTATGAATAATGCTTATAAAATATTCTCCTTTTTGACACAAAGATTTAATTTACCATCACAAAAGGACAAAGAAAAGCAGCATTCTCACATTTAGAAGCTACAACTGAAGAATATAGACTGAAAATATGAATAAATCAAATTAAAGCTGTAAGCAGCATTAGGCGGGCCCTCGCACGTGTAGTGCGTCGAGGTGTAAGGCGGCCGCGTTGCAGACTCTGGAGTTCTGCCAGTGTAGCTGTGAACTTTGGAAGCTGCAAAAATAACTATACAACTATACTTCGCCGCCACGCCACGGATACGCCGTTGAAGGAAAACTCACACACAACATGACATCATCAATGGGTTAAGGGTTTTCTGAAATAGTTTTGAAGTAGAAGCAGAAGCTGCAGAAAAGATGATGATCTTTCAAAGTATTTAGTGTTTGCTAAAAATATGTTTAGTTTAGGAGCTATGTCCTTCCAAAGTGAAGGGTTTTACTGCTTTCAGCAGACTTTATCAGTGTGTCACATGACCAGCTAGAGTGTAGAGAGAAGGATTTGGAAGACCAGAATTTGTTTATAAACTGCTGCCAGTCGAGTAGATTCATCTCCATAAGCCCAAAAAAAGCATCAGAATGTAGCCACATGCCTTTTCTCTCAAAATGGCAAAATCTTGCTCAGTGGAGGTTTAGCTTTTTAGATCTGAACCTTAATTGATAGGAACCTCACAGTCGTGTCTCACTGACTCCCTGTTTCAACTAAGTTTTCCCCCTGTCATCAATTCTTTAACTTGTTAACTCATCCTTCCGGTTTGGAGCGTGGACACCTGATGTATATTTTTATGCTCAGCTACTCAAGCACTAACTAAAAACACCAAAATAAGAGCTTAAAAGCTTTTTAGCCACTTGGAAACTAACACGTATTTCCAGAAAAATCGCCTAAAATAACTTACCTAAAATAAATCAGTAATAACTCCACAACCATTAGGCCTAGATGCATAAGTCTGGTCTCCTTTGATTGGTCAGAAGCTAAGGAATGTGAATCAATAAATGAACCTATTTATTTTTCTATCAAAGAGTAAATGGAGATGCAATAAAGGAAAATATGATATTTCTATCCCCGCCTGGTATAAAATCTATATTTTAATACAAACCATCATCCAACTCACCTGGAATACAACTGTAAAATTGATGAAAAGAAACTACTATATAACAGTTACTACACAATTTTTCAAAAATATACCAGGCGAATGTTATTGTAAGTTTTCTTCAAAACACTATTTCTCTCCATACAACCACGTTCCAAATAACAAAGCTTCTAAAACATTGAAATATTGATAAAAACGGTGAATACTGATCAATATTCCTGTGACCAAAAGCACCCCCATGCTTTACAGGCCCACAAGTTGAAAACAGAACATCCTACAAGGCTGTAAAGCTTGATTTATACTCCTGTGTCGGGTCTACATGTGTAGCTACGCTGTAGGCCAAACGCTAGTCGGCCGTAGCGTTGCAGCGTCCACTGTGTTGGCTTTTGCCGGCCTAGCTGGCTAGCTTCCAGTTTAGCCCTCCGCTAACGTGAATGGGGGTAAAATTGTATATGTGCGGCTGTTAGACTTTTCAAATGTTAGCGACCAAATGGATCACATTCTGATATTGAAACGAGTCATTTCGGCCAGTTTGTGAAGCTCAAATACATTGATCCACCGTGTTACAGCCGCTGGTTTAGCCGCTAGTAAAATTTACTTCAAAACACCTCCTGTCACACTGTCACTGTCCTGTACCACAGTTCTTACGGTCTGCGTCGCCTCAACGTGAGGTTACATTTTTGGAGGTGGTGCACGTTCAGATACGGCGTAGGTGACGGCGTAGGGTAAGGGGAAGCGCAGAGGCTACGCCGTCGATGTGACACAGAAGTATAAACTGCCCTTAAGTGGGCTCTTTCTCTTCGTACTGAAGAGACGAATCAATTGGTATACTGGATGTCTGTGTAGCTCCTCCGGGTCGGCCAGTGGAGGCCGATAAAGACCTCTGTTCCACAGCAACTCTTCATTTGACGAGAGAAACAAAACCTAAGAGCAGCTATTGCACAATACAAAGATGGAGGCCCGCAACAACAATCTCTATTGACACAAACCACAGCTTTTTTTGGACTGAAAACAGCGAAAACGACACTGTAAATGTCCAATGAAGGTTAAAGTCAAGGGCAACTGGACTTGGTTGAAGATACTGGAAGACGTTTCGTCCCTCATGCAAAGTTCTGGGAACCCAGAACTGAAGAAGTCCAGTTGCGCTTGACTTTAACCTTCGTTGGATATGACCTGGCTATGACCTGGATGACTGAGAATCTTCATAGACACACTGTAAATGTATATTGCAGCGTTTGTTGTAATTATTAGTCGGCTAATAACTCTGAGTTTTGTAATATGAGTTCCACAGCTCTACAGTGGTTGGACTGTTGTGTAGGATGAGAGGAGAGATATGTGGAAGGCAATGAGTGCAGCCATGTACATTGATTACAGAGTGATTTATGTTGTGATATAAGTTCATTTAAATGCTTGGTCTTTGATGTGTCTTGGGATATAAATGGTCGGTTTGAGATACTAGCTGAGCCTCCTAGCTTCATGGAGGTGTGTGACATGCATTAGGTAACAAAATAACCTGATCGTCCATGGATTTCCCATTTGCATTTTGAGGCCAGAATCAATTGTCCTGCCCGTGCTTAAATGGGTAAGCAAATGCACGTTTCTATCAACAAATGATCAAATGTCAGATGTCTGCTTGTTTAGCTCACTTGGTTAGAGTGTTGGTTATAACGTAAGTGTACATGCTCCCATCTGTACCAGATTTGATGTGTCCCACCTTGACATCTATATGCCATTATTCACACAAAGTCATAGCGCCATGCGTCATGCTGTGATATGTTGGCAATATCAACTTCAAAACTGTCCCAGAGAAGCCTCAACACAGTGATGATGCTATGTTGTGAAGCGTGTGAGTTTTCAGTAAACAGTTTGCTGGTGGTAGCAAAGGTCCACGCTTTGCCAAGACACAGGAAATTGTTGCATCTTCACTGTACATGCTCAAATCTGTACCAAGTCCCACCCTGAACACATCTACAAGCTCATATTTACTCATGGTCACAGTGCCACCTACTGGCAACAGGGAGTGACTACTTCTATGCTGTGGTGAACCACTTTTTGTAGGTTGGCCATCTTCACTTCAAAACTATGTCAGATGTTGTAAAGCTTCTGAGTTTTCCTTCAACAGTGTATGCTTGGCGTGGCAGCAAAGTACCATGCTGCGCCATGAAACAGGAAGTTGTTAAAACTTCACTGTAGTTGATTGATAATGGTCCCGCCCCCAACACATCTACATGCCAATATTCTGTTATAGTCATTGCAATACCTACTACTACTACAACAGAATTAGTCTGTGGCATGTGATTCTTTTACTTGTAGGTAGCGCTACAGGATTTGCCCATTCGAGTTATTAATGATATTCAGAGACTCCCTGATTAGTCTTGTGTAAAACAATAAAAAAATTAAATAAAATAAAACAAAAAAAAAATCAAGATTATGAAAGAGCAAGAGAGAGAAATTAAACTGAAAAGACAATTTGTTAAGTTGCATATCCGTACTAATGTGAACAAAAAAGCAGATCCATGCTACTTTACATTTACAGAAAGCGGTTCTGTTCTACTATTCATCTCATTACACATTCCATTCTGTCACATCACTAAATTACAAAAAACAATATGGTGAGTATGAGTTGTCTTGAGTGCAAAAATAAAATTTTATTTATTAAAAATTACACCAAACTCACTATTCTTGAGTATTATTGGAAACACAAACAAATTAAGTGAAAACTTATTTGTAGAGTAATTCTTCACTTTGTTGTTTCCAGAGCTTAAATAATGTGGTACTATTTGATTGGAAAGGTTACTACAACTGCAAGGTGTGGTATAATGGAGTGCGTCGGACCTACCAGAGACAATGTTTACGATGCGATAAGGAATTCCTAGGGACTGGTATAATTCTTCTGCAGTCCCTATCATTTCATCAAACATCTCCCATGATTTGCCGTCATGCGGGGAGGCATAGACAAACTGCTCAATCTACAAGGAGAAGAGGAAGAAGCACAAGGGGCGAAAACTATTAGCTCATTACTTATACGTTATATAAATCATACACAGTACATGAGTGGATAAACAACAAGTCATTTAAATAAAGCGATTTTATATGGAGCACTGCCAAAGATGAATATGGGCGTTTCACAGAAAGAAGCTGATCTTAAGTCTGGTTACTTGTGTATCGTCCTGCCGGACAGCAGTATGGTGAACAAGCTGTGGCTGGGTAGATACCGTCTTTTAGTATTCTTTTGGCTCTGCACAGGCGTCTCACCTCAACTCACATATAGCACCGATGCTCAGTAGATAGGTACCAATAATCTTCTGAGGGGTTTTAATTGTCGCCAGGTGCTTGTTCATAGTGGGAATTTGTTGGATCTCTGTAAATAATATCACGAAGAGTATGCTCTAGACATGCTCTATATGAACGGTGCAATTAGATAACTTTTGTTGCGAATTGGCATTATTTATAAATATATATATATATATATATATATAAACATTGAATTGAAATTGAATTAAAAGGTGTGTGAAGACTGAGTGAAGGGCAGGGGAAATGGCATATTCTGTGGATCTGTTGGTTCTGAAAGCAAACAGAGGGTCCAGGCTGACTATGATGTTGTTCTTTATATGTTGGAGATCAACTTTCTAAATGCACTTCATCAGAATGGGGGTAAGTGCCACAGGGTGGTAGTCGTTCAGACTAGACACTGCAGGCTTTTTAGGTACAGGGAGGATGGTGGCCGTCTTGAAGCAGGTAGTGACAAGTGACACTCCTTAACTTCATATAGATGTATATAGATGGATGGATGGAATCTCACTAAAGTGAGTACACCTCCAACATTTATACCATGTCACGAAAGCCATCACTCTCAACTACACTGTACGGTTGTAAGTCAATAAAACAGACTATAGATGACTACAGATATTGGTGATTTTGTCTTGTAGGTTTTTCCTTGTAGCTGTACTAGCATCTACAGATTCCTTTCCACCGTGCCATCTCAGCAAGCAAATGTTAAGATTTGTTGTGCTCCCGCTTTACTTATTAACTGTTCTACAGACCTTACATTTGGCCAGACTTGTGTCCAATTTTCCATTCTTTTTATAAAATCAAAATGTCTTACAAACTCTGCATTTGATGGTGAGCTGTAAACCGTGTCAGCGTTGTTGGACATGTTCTTATTTTTTCCCCTCACAAGCAACATGTCTGTGAAGTCATCGTTATCCAAGGAAGGTAAATCAAGCGCAACTGTACTCATTTTGACCTTTAATGAGAAAGGAGACCCTGTGCAGAAATAGCAGCAAAGCTTCAGTCAAGCGATTAGTAACTTCAGAATTGGGCCGTTGAACGGTTTGTGGTATAATACAAGACTGATCCATAGGTCCGCATATCGATGTAGTCGCATCTTTGACGTTAAAACAGTCATCCAATTCGTATCTGTGATTCGTTAGACCGCTAGTTTTTACTGTTGGTTTGACCCTTTTAATCAGAGGGAGGGCTACGTAGCTGCCAGAAATGTTAATGTAAGCATGGTCCTCATGGTAATCATAATTGCCATTCAAACTACCTTAGTATGTGCCTGGCATATAGTTATGGGATAATTTAAAATGATAAACAGTGTCCATTTCTCTGTTTAAATGTTGTATTCATTGAAAATGAAAAGTAATATAATACTACTTTTGTCCCACAACTTGCCTTCTCAAACTGGTGTACCCTGAAGATCCCGCGGGTGTCTCTTCCATGGGAGCCCACTTCCTGTCGGAAGCAGGTGGAGAAACCGGCGTAGCGGACAGGCAGGTCTTCTGGTTTGAGCCACTCGTCCCTCAGGAAGGCTGCAATTGGCTGTTCTGAGGTGGCAATGAGGTATTTCTCATCTATGGAGCTGTCGTCTGACTTCTCACTGCTCTTACCGATGACCTTTTGTAAACACATACAGGGGTTCAGAAAAGGAACAATTGACAAAAATCAATTTATAAGGTTTACACGGTCATGAAAAACCTGGAAAAGTCAATGAGTTCGAAAATTGCTTTTTCCAGGTCTGAAAAAAAACTGAAATATATATTTTCATTACAGTGCTACTGCCTACATCTGTAGTAGTGTGTACTTAAAGAATAAACAGGGTTCTTGCACCATTTTAACAATCAAATTCAATGCTTTTTAAGACCTCAATATAATTTAAGACCTCAAAAGTGTCAAAAGATATAATAGAAAAGTGATGCAAATCTTTAACTGTACAAATGATACTAACTTGACTCATTGATCTACCCTGTTGATTGTCTCTGCTATTAGCCTTATGTGTTGCGTCTGTTTGTGAACGTGACCTCATGCAATGCTGTGTTAAACTCTAAAAAACTAAAATAACAGAAAGGAAAACACATTACAAAAAAATAAATAAATAAAATAAAGGGTAGCAAGGATTCGATGCCAGGCGGGACTTTATAAGTTTCACTTTCACTTTCCAGCCGAGCTTACATAGGCGCACCACTTAGAGGTAAACTGACTGCCAACAGTGAAATATATGGCACGCAGCCAAACGTCAACTGCTGCAGCTAACGTAAACGTGACCTGAAACTGGTGAAGTCTTGCATTGTCTAGTTGTAAGTTAATTAGACATTTTACAGTAGGCCACTGTGCGTGACAACTTTTAAGCCAGCCTTAAACAAACCATAGGCAAATTTAATACCTACAGCATATTCCCTTCCCTTTTCCCTATTTTAAGACCTTTCAAGATTTTTTTATGGAGCCGCAGGAACCCTGTAAACTAAAAATTTAAGCGGACTGGCCCTCCCACAGACCCTGCAGCTCTGCAGATGTGGCTCTGAGTTGTTACATGCTTTGGACGCTGCATGAAGGACTTCACTTCCTGCATTTCCTATGTGGCACTAGAGAAAACACGGTAACTATGTTATATCCAAGTTCGTCAAGTGTGGAGCACAAAAAAAAGGACACAAATGGCTATCCTCAACGTTCAGAATAACCAACATAAATGATTGCATTCATTTTTGTCAGTAAGAACTGAGAAGTTTTCCAAATTTCAGACTTGCCTTGCTTTGGTCTTGTACTGTATAAGTATACAGAAGCCACCAAGGCTGTGCAGTGAGTAAACTTCACTCCCCGACGCTAGTGCCTATGGGGTTTAGCCTCCTTGTCAGTGTCCGCCTCCTGTACCCGAGGTAGAGTTAAAACTGCCCAGTCATGCACGATTTGTGATGGGTCCCATGGGACCCGCGGGATCCCAATGCAGCTCTCTAATAAGGACCTTGCACGTTTCGTGCTTGGGCGCTAATAAATTAGAATTTTTATATTATTATAATGACATTAGATAAAAAAATAATTTTAATCTAATCATATACTGTGAGTATGCTAGTAATTATTTAGTATTATTTTTATTATTTCCATATATTTTGTAAGATGTCTATGAAGGTTCTCAATTATCCAGGTCATAGTTATCCAACGAAGGTTGAGGTCAAGGGCAACTGGACTTGGTTTCTTCCAAGTCCAGTTGCCCTTGACCTCAACCTTCATTGGATACATATATTTTGTAGTTTTGACTAGGGCTAGGCTATATCGATATTATGAGGTACACCGAAGTAATTTCAAAAGATATATAAAATTAGAAAATATCGTTTATACTGATATAGTTTGATGATGAGTTAATTAATATGTTTCTGTTAAGTCCTGCCAGGGGTTTATCCTCTCTCCCTCAACGCGCAGCCCCTTTAGCTCACAAACTCTAACAACATGGAAGGAGACACAGTGCCGGTCGACACTGCTGAAGACCTGAAAAACAACGGTTCAGTCAGTGTTTCCCACATATACACTTTACTTCAGCAGGCCGCCCAGGTATATTTGGCAAAACACTGTAGAATTTATCCGAGAAACACAGTTATTACGTTACAAGTCGCAACACGGTGGATACTGTAAAAGCACGGACCAGGTAAAGCCAACACACCAGTGCAGATGTCATTCGTTAGCTACCAAGTTGGTTTTGCCACGCCTCCTCAACATGCAGCGCAACTGCTGCTGTGAACAGAATCGCGGAGCAGACAGAGAGACAGAGAGAGAGAAAGAGAGAGAGAGAGAGAAGAGGGGCACACGAACGTGTTTGCAGCAGACGTACATTAGGTCAAGTTAACAGAAAAAGTGGAGCTAAAAGCTCAGTAAAAGCTTCCATACCTTGTAAAGCTCTTCGTCAAACTGGCTGAGCTGGGCTACTTCCTGCATGACCTCTTTCCTCATAAAGAAGGGTGTGTAGAGCATGGTGTAATTCTTGCTGTGGAGGATCCTTAATGCATAATTGATCAGAGCCTGCTCCAGGAAAACCAGTGGCCCCTGAATACAACGGAGAAGAAAACAACAGCTGTTTTTCCTGATTTGCAGGTCAGGAAGCACAAGGGCTGTCACGATTGTTCTTTGAAGACGAAAAAAAGAGCTTGAAAAGGAGTTGCATTTATTTACTTGTTTGTATCCTACACGTGTTGGAGATTATATCTGAACTCACCTTCAGAAAGTAACCTCTGCTCCCAGCCACAACAGCTCCCCTCTCTCCATCAAAGCCATCAATCATGACCACCAGGTCAACATGGGAGTACTTCTTCTGGATGGTGCAGTCGCCCCAGGTACGCTCCACCTTGTTGTCTGTGTCCTGTCAGAAAATATTAGTTTAACGATTATTCAACTGACAGAAAAATTAATCTGCAACAATTTTGACAATCATTGGATGAATGAAGCATGTAATGTAAATGTAAAACAGCTTGCAGCTTCTAAAATGTGATAGTCATTATAAACTGTATTTCATTGGGTTTGGACCCATTGGTCTATTTCTGTGACTCTTCCTAGAACAGTTAAAGGAGAAGTTTAACATTTAACAAGTTATGTCCTTTCTTGCCGAGTTACATGAGAAGATCAATACCACTCTCATACCTGTATAACAAATATGAATAAAGACTGGAAACGAGGTAAAAGCTAGCCTGGCAATGTCCAAGGTCAGAAAGCTACTGGTTGTTGTTGTTGTTTTTTAGCTGTAAAGTAAAACAACTGCCAACCAGTTACAGTTAATATGTAAGAGGTGTTAACTAATTCAATATATCGCTATTCTTGTCCTTGTAATAAGGTAACGACTTCCGCAACGTGCAGTGAGGTTCTTCACAATAAATATGTTGTGAAATTTGACTTACTCCTGACTTCAATGCCTGAGACAAGTAGAACATTGCTGGTTCTTGACATAATAGAAATACAAAAACACACACAGGCAAAATTTGGGAGGCAGATGCATCATCTCTAAAAAAAAAAAAAAAATTAAATAAAATCCTCCTGTAGCCATACCCTAAACCCAACCTGAAGTTATCCATTTTGAATAAAATAAGGAGATGTGACACCTCGACCACAGATCGTCAGATCTCTTCTTCTGTCAGCCGGCATGCAGTGAAGAGATCCCTCCTGTTACTCCACCAAAGGCACACATGGAGTGCCCGTTCGACACTGCATGCAGCTTTAATTTAGTTTTTGTTTCTTGTACCAACAACAATACAATTTGTGGTTGTTAACGATATCTTGCAAATATTTACATTTTGTATGACGTGTCCTCATAATTCCTGGGTCCTGTGTTATCTAATCCACTTTCTTGGTGAAGATAATCAAAATCAATTTGACTATATTTGAAATGACAATGGATTTAATGTGATCAGCTCCTACTTTAACCAGCTTTGCCTGTTATCACCCACCCACCTCATCATTGCTGATGGGTACAGATGGGTGCAGAAGATTGCCGATCTCCCTCAGGTACTCAAAGCGCTCCGCCTCCAGCTTCATCCTCTCACTGTCAGTTTTCTCAATTGCCTTGTCCACCAACAAACGTACCTTCTTGATCTGGGTTACAGTCAGGGCCTGACACAGAAACATGCAAACAAGTAAGAAGCAAACAAAGAAATAAAGCAGATTGTAGGCTTCCATAAAGATGGGGATAAGTGGTTAGAGCACAAACAGTTTTACCGATAGTGTTTCAGGTGTTAGGGCCTCCAGGTTCTGAGCTTCTTCAGGTACAGACTCATCCTCCCCAACTGGTTCCTTCCTCTGTATTCACAACATAGAAAATAACGTGGAAGTTCTAAACACCCTCTCAAGTCTGTTTACTGGACACATACTGTCAGTGTTATTTCACCGCTATCACTCTGCTTTGCAAGAGGCAACAACCTGTTCAGTGATTTAGTGTCCTAATGCTTCATTCATTACCTTCATTTTCTCCCCAATGCTCTTGCTGCAGAGGTTCTTCGCTTTGTTGAGATTGTCTGCAGTGAAGCGGCCTATTAGGGAGTAAAGCGCAGTCAGTGGGACTGTCCTTGTGAGTATGTGTGAGCTGCGCTAGCACAACTACTAAACTGGTGACATGTGGTGCCGTCTGGAGCAACACACTTTCATGCAGTCACAAACATGAAAAAAAATCTACACAATTACGAACCCTAACCCGGAAGACTCGAAAGGCGCTATGCCATTTACTTTGTTACTTAAATAGTGACAATAACTCATGCTGTATGCAGGGCGAGGTTGACTAGACGTTTTGCTGGCTGGGATTGCATCAGATTGCACGTTACTACCGGTTACTGCCCGTCATCACTAAGCTAGCCCAGTATTAATCAACAATTTGTATTATATCTGTCAACATCTTTATAGGAAAGCGTAGTAAACTAGTGCTTAGTGTCTATGGATATTAAGTAAGTGCCGTTAAATACGTGGAGGATAACTAAATGGTTCATTTGGATGCAGCTAGCTGCGCTAACATTAGCCACATTGCGTGCTATTCTCTTCCTCTATGAGAGCATACCAAACTCTATTCAAATCTGGCTACATATTCTTGCTTAAGTTACTGACAAACATTCACGACTTGCACAAGGTAAATTATTTTGGATCCTGTTATAATAATGCCCACTGGTAAACACGGCATTGATAAAATGCACCAAGCATCACAGTAACTGTTTCAATAACGTTAGATAACTTTATGAAACGATTTGCTGCATTTCAAGGTAACGTTACAGAATAGGAGACTGGGTCTGTGTTAAAATATAAGTATTTTAAATATCCTAGATGGTATGTAACCATTGGCTGTATTCACATACTAAAAATACAAATACCATATTTTATGGAGGCCGGCGTTAGTTCCTCTCCAAGTAAGTTAACATTAGAAAATAAAAGGAGGCTTCGCCAACACAACAGCAATAAAACGGTGCTTACATTTTCTCCACACTGTATCTGCGGTGACCAGTTTGTCAACGAGTGTCACATCTTTAAATCTCTTCCTTTGACATTCACGGACGATTTCTGGATCGCCACCTTTGTCTGTCCGAAACAGGTCCAAGTCGAGCACCATCTTTCCACGCTGTCTCAAAATATGACTCCTCCAACCAGAGTACCAGACCTCCTTGCTGAAGTCACAAAACTGGACTCTTCTTCTTTTGTATGCGGGTGGTAACTAACGTTTTAGGTGCAATACCGCCACCTACTATGCTGGAGTGTGGGCCATGTTCCCATCAGTAACAAACAAAAACAACCTAAAAAACTCTGCATTAATGTAGTTGTTATAAAAACTCAAAGAAGGCTTTATAATTTCCTTCCTTCTGAGATTCACAACTTTTAAGACTCAAAGTAGAAAACATAGACGAAGAAACGTGCCACATTCACATAGTCCTGGGCCCTGTTTCAGAAAGCAGATTTAAAGCTCCGCTCCAGTGTATTTTGACATTTCTATGATATTTCATATTTTTCTCATTCATCATACAGTCGATGGTCAGGACCATCGACTTTGTATCGACCAAAGCCTGCATGGAGAGATCCATGTAGGCCCAAAAATGACGTCAAAACCCTGTGACAGTCCGTCGCACACGACAGATATAGAGATTACTTAGATTATAAACTCTCTGCAATCTAAAAAAATATTTGGCCATCTGTGACGCTGCGTTGGTGTAAGTTGCCGGGGTTACTGATCTAGGGTTTGTCTGATCACAGTCTCTGAAACAGAAAACCCAGAGATTCCCTCATTTCTGGTTGAACATACTCAGAGTTTTCACAAAACCCGCTTTCTGAAACAGGACCCTGATGGATGTTTCCCTAACAAGTGTATTGTTTTTTATTCTGTGTGCCCTAATACCAGCCTTTTGCTCTCTGGAGTTTTTCTGTATTGTTTGCCTTACTTCAAATGTTTTTGTCGATGAGCCATAATATTGTTCATATTACTGCTCTAGCTTCAGCTTTACTAAAAGCTACCTCCATAATTCTCTCCTGTTTCAGAGGTTGTTAAGCCATTAAGTCTGCTATTTCATTCCCCTCGATGCCTCTACGAGCTGGGATCCACATAAACCTGGCATGGACTGCAATGATACCAATGATGATAAACAGAGATGCTCACAAGTCTCTGAGCTAGAGTCCAAGTCAAGTCTCAAATCTTTGAGCTGGAGTCCAAGTCAAGTCTCAAGTCTTTGAGCTGGAGTCCAAGTCAAGTCTCAAGTCTTTGAGCTGGAGTCCAAGTCAAGTCTCAAGTCTCTTGTGGCTATAATAAGTGTTGCATCACCTGTAACGATCCATCCAGGCTGCTTAGAACACTGCATAGCTATATCTAAGGAATTCAGAGCATGGAATATGTTTTTTATTTACTTTATCTATTAGCATAAAGTATCAGCTTTGATTTTGGTATATAATCAGTGTAAACAGGCTATTGCAACATGACAAAAACACCAAAAAGTCTTCACTATTAAGTTAATAACTGTATTTGCCTTGTAGCATACATTACAGTACAGACCAAATATTGAGGTTCTAAAGAAAAAGGACTCTTGTCTGTCACTGAATTATAATGAAAGACCTTGCCTCCTCTTTTGCTGGCTCTGTTGGGGCCATAAGACCAATATAGAAAATGTTATGCCTCACAGCACTAAAATTGACATACTCCTATTTAGTGCACTGAAAACTGAAAAATGTCATATTGTAGCTAAATGCAAAACACTATTGCAACCAAATGATGTGAAATATACTATCCTCAAAAATGTTAACACAGTGCACTTCCTTTTAAGAATAGAGAATCCTCAATTATTTTCAGCAAATGGATGAGGTGGCCGTTGAGTGAAAGCACACAAGGGGAGAGCTGCACTGACAGTCACCACTTTCTCTCCTTGTGTGAGGTCTGTTGCATGAAGAAATGGGACTAAAATGTCCACAAGCTCTTTGAGCCGACTCTATTCTCTGGCTGATAAGCACAGGCCTTTATGTGCTTGGGCTTTCAGGAGAGAATTTAGGCTTTTGGGATCCAGGTCATTGACTGCCTCCACAAGGCAAAGAGTTGTGTTCCATCGTGTGGATACCGCTGAGGGGATGCTTGCTCCATACTCCTCAAATGCTTCCTTCAGTCCACAGGTAGAATGGAAACCACAAGGTTCTGAGAGAAGAACAGGAAAAAACTGTGTTATCAGGAAAATATTAATAAATTTATTAGCAACACCTGCAACCTTTTTTTCACTTAAAGACCACAACCATGTAATATGCACTGCCTCTGCAACTGATCACAACTTATAAACTACTGTATGTCAACACATCCCAGGCTCTCAAACCAGTGTAACAGTAACAAAATAAAACTGTAACGTTACATGATCAACAATCAACCTGTAACCTGTTTGCAGCCAATGGTAATAATTAAAGTGATGGCAGCCAGCGGGACATAAATGATTATGTTAATCAACGACCACAAGTTTGGCAAGCAAAAAAAAGCTCATTTATCTTTTCATAACAACGACGGGGGTTAACCTCCTGTAGGTTGTAGCTAAAGCAAGAAGCAATCTAACGTTAGATGATCAATGCTGAGCTAAACATGTTTACTAAATTATCAAGGTGCGTTTTCAGGTGCGTGATAAAATTAGATGTGGTTGAACCAGAATCTTTTATCTTGATACCACATATTTTGCATTCAGTGCTTCTTTTGTTTGGGCCATCTTGTTTGAAGTTTTTAAAGCCAAAGCTTACGATGAACGGCACAGCAGTGGCCGGTGCATGTTTGTTGTCCTCTCTCACGTGTGGCCGCATGCAGCAGATATGGAGTATGTGTTACGTAGGTAGGTTATAGGTAACGAAAGGAGGGGAATAACATTCATCAGAAGTTTCTTAAAAATAAAGATTGTTCACAAGTCCCGCACCTCGAGTCTGAGTCGAGTCTGAAGTCTTTTGAGGACGAGTCTGAAGTCAAGTCTAAAGTTACAGTATATATATATATATATATATATATATATATATATATATATATATATATATATATATATATATATGGTAGCACTTTATAATAACTACACACTAAGAAAAAGGAAAAAGACAAAGACAAAGTGATACACAACGTATCAATTATTTATTACAACACGTCTCCTAGCCATTCGTTAATAAAAAACAAGACAGTACATGGCTAAATTAAACTGTAGAACTGTTCATAAAATGCACCATATACAAATACATAATAAAATAAATGTCTTTCAAGTATAAACACCCATGGCTGAATACAAATTTACCAGTAGAGGTGCCAAATAAAATCTTCATAAAATAATAATATAAAATCTTTCACTGTCAAAATGTAACAACAAAAACAACTTCAAGATAGGTGTGAAACTCAAGTCAGCTCTCCTACCCTCCCTACCCGCTTTCCATCAGCCTTACAGGCTGTGATTGTGTCTTCTATTCCTTTGTTCTTCTGAATAGCAGTGGCACACTGTGTGGCAAAAACACAGAGTTTTATCTGATTATTGTGGTTTTTAAGGAGTTCCTTGTACTTGCTGTACTTGCGATTGGAGCATTGACCACCACCGTGTTCCGGTCCACTCCAACACACCTGAAAGCAGCAGACATGGTCCCTCCTTTACTGAACTGTCTAAGAATTATTTTGTACCGGCGTTTGGGCTGCAATTATAACAACATAAAATTAGTGATATCGATAATATTTTTGTTATTTTACTTGCACACTTTACACACACACACACACGAGTCACATTAAAATTCAGTTTTAATCTACAGTAGAAGACATGAGACTAAATGGTTGCAAATTAGAGACCTACATGTTGGTTTAGGGTTATCCCACCTCAAATCAACAAATGCCTTCTCAGGTGTTGTTGAAATTTGTCCCACATAAAGTCTGACCATCCAAAGTGTGACCACCAGTTTAGGCATACTATTAATATACTGAAGATAAATTAATTTTCTTACAATTCAGCAACCTCAACACTAGATGCCACTAAATCCTACACATTGCACATTTAATTGTTACTAAATTTAAACTGCATGTCATGTTGCATGACTAGAAATGTATTTGTTTAATTTGTTCAGTTTGTCAGAAAAATACAAACATAAGGCTCACAATACATGGCACCAAGGGAAAGAAATGTGCATATTCAGTACATACCCTAGTACAATCCAAAAATAAACTCACATAAGACGAAACTGTTCTACAATTTCACTACATACTGTTGAGTTGAGAGACTTATCTGATGCTAATTTGTCATTGAGATAGTCTCTCTCCTGGGTCAGCTCATCAGTCTTCTCCTTTTGCCACTTTACCCTCAGCTTAAACATCTCCAACTCATTGGATTTTTTGCTTGTCTGCCAGCTGTGCGGTAGGTACCACGAAGACACCTAATATTAAATAAAACATTCTTTTAATCTTATTTGCTATTCAACACCCCCACGCTACATGTTGGCAAAGAACAGATACTCAAAAGAACTTTATTTAAAGAGGTGGTCTTATGCTCAGTTTCAGGTTAAAAATTTTATTTAGGGGTTGTACCAGAACAGGTTTACATGCTTTAATTTTCAAAAAACACCATCTTTTTGTCATACTGCACATTCCTGCAGCTCCTCTTTTCACCCTGTGTTGAATGCTTCGTTTTAGTTGTGGAGTGATACATCTTGCCTCTACATGATCTTTGTTGGGAGTCGCACATGCGCAGTCCTAGTTAAGGACTACTAGCCAATCAGAAGCAGAGAAGGATGGATCAGTGAGAAGCCGGTAAACAGCTTCGGTTCAGCTGTACGTGTTGCCGACCAGCACAATCGAGCCGTTTTCAGAGCAGTTTTTTTCTGTGGGAGATTGGAACTCCCTTTGGGGTAGACTTTGGGATTTTTCACTTTGCAAACATATTACATGCACAAAAAAGATATATAACTCAATAAAGGAGAGACACAAAGCCAAAAAGCATAATACCACCTCTTTAATATGTCATACATTTGATTTATTCCCTATAAACCTATCTTGTAATTTATCTAAAACTTGAGGGCTAACTAATTTAGGTAAGGTCAGACTACACTATCAATTAATGTTACTGCAAGCACAGATTAAGTATTGCTAGCTTG